TTTGTTCTGTCTAAAATGTTTATTTTGGAATAAAGAGGTTAATATAAAAAATATTTTTTGTCCGATTTTTCGATTAATCGAAAAAATAATCGGCCGATTCATCGATTTTTAAAATAATCGTTAGTGTCAGCCCTACATCTAAATCAGGTATGGGCAACTGGCACCCCGGGGGGCCGCCCAAGGCCCTCGTCATCACTGTGCCGCCTGTGAATAGATCAATAATAATTACATTATTTAATAAAAAAAACAAACAAGCGGAGCAGTTTTTCCACCATGAAGCACATAAAATCCAAAGAGAGAAACGGACTCACCGATGAAACGGTTTCATTTGAGGCGCATTGGGATCTAAACATTAACATCCAATCTATTGTGAGCCAGCAGGCCAAACCACAGCTCTGTCCTCAGCTTCAGCTAATGTTGGGCCTCTGCAAATATCTGACATTCAATAATAACAGAAAACTAGACCACAATCAGATTTTTTTTAAAAACTTTATTGTTCTTTGTTATGAATGAGTTGTCCAGGAGAAAAAAAAAAACATGAATCAATACTCTTGGTGACGTGTCGATGCATCGGATCGTCGGCTGTTGGATCGATGCATCGATACAAAACAATCATCTACACCCAATCAGCAGTGATGGTTCTCAGAATTGTTCAGTCTTCCTAAAGAAGAGCCTAATGACCAGAAGCGGCGCGGTACGCTGACGTCACCAAACGGCCGCTGCCCACACAGGAGAGGCAGCTTTGTTTTTCTGCTTGACTAGAAGCACTTTGAAAAGCCCCACCCTAATGAAAATCCAGTTCAACCAACTGGTAGACGTCATCAGAGTCCAGTTAGCTGTTATTTATCTCAATTATTACTCTGCTGTTCGCTGGTGACGATTCTCTAAAACCCGACGCTATTTCTGACATTTTGAATTGAAAAAGCTTCCTGGATGCGAAGCGAAACGTCTTCAAACTCTGAAACAAAGTCCAGTGGATTGATTTTAACATTGTTTGGAACTCTGCTGTTCTGGGATTGAGATTGTTCCACTGTGATCTCATCCGTCCTGCAGGTAAACGCAGATTCAACATCAAACTGTGGAAAACTTTCACCGACTGCTTCAACTGCCTGCCCATCGCCGCCATCGTGGACGAGAAGATCTTCTGCTGTCATGGAGGTATCGTTTGAGGACGTTTCCGTTCAGATGAGACGTGAGCTCTTTATCATAGAGGAAAATGGTCGTCCAAACCTTTCTCCTTCCCTCAGGCCTTTCTCCTGACCTGCAGTCTATGGAGCAGATCAGACGGATCATGAGACCCACAGACGTCCCAGACACAGGTAGCTCAGCGTTGGGATTTTGGCCGATATCCGATATG